AAAATAACCTTGTTCCTTTGACGACTCCAGTTAATAATAATAAGAAGAAGAATAATAAGAATACATTTTATTTAAAGGCGCCTTTCAAAACTCTCAAGGTCACCTTACAGAGCAGAGATAAAAACAACAAAGTAACAACACAACGATAAAATTAACATTAAAAAACCCAAATGTACAGGATGTAAAGGAGTTATGAGAACGGGTGGAAAATGATCAGACTGAATATGCCAGTTTAAAAAGATGTGTTTTGAGATGAGATTTGAAAATAGAGAGAGTGTCAATATTACGGATTTGTGGTGGGAGGGAGTTCCAGAGGTGGGGGGGCAGAGCGGCTGAAGGCCCTGGACCCCATGGTGGACAGGCGGGCGGGTGGTGCAGTGAGTTGAATGGAAGACCTGAGAGTGCAAGTAGGTATGTTGATGTGCAGGAGTTCAGAGATGTAAAGCGGAGCGAGGTTGTGGATGGCCTTGAAGGTGAGGAGCAGAATTTTGAAGGTGATACGATGTTTAACACGGGAGCCAATGAAGCTGCTGTAGGACAGGGGTGGTGTGATTAACAGAGGGCGTTCTGGTGATGATGCGAGCGGCAGAATTCTGGACCAGTTGAAGTTTGTGGATGGTTTGTGGATGGACTTGAGAGGGAGACCAAAGAGAAGGGAGTTGCAGTAGTCAATGCGGGATGTAACCAGGGTGTTAAAAGTTAAGTGTTACAGACAACTGCAGATTTTATAAAAGCCTTTTTCTTCAAGAACCTGTGGATCCCGAAAAAAAAAAAGGCTTTCAGTAAATCTGACATCATGTGAAACGCTTAACTGGAGTCCTCAAAGGAGTCTAACGGGGTTATTTTTTTGCTTTTGAAAAACAAGAGCAGGATTTTGTGGATCCTCCTAATCACTTTGACCAGACATATATTACTTGGACCTTAAAAAAACACAGCAGACTGCTGGACATGTCTGGTTGTGTAAGGTACATCACTGCATGCCCTCTGGCAGTGCCCAAGATTCAAAACTTTTGGGAACAAATTCACAACAGTTTAAAGGAGATTACAGAGGATTGTTTTTAATTATCTCCCAGGTTTCATGTGTTGGGTGACCAATCATTAGTAAAAGACTTAAAACAGCCATAATGGTGGGTATAGGCAGATCTTCCTGAGAGGATGGAGACAGAAGCCTCTTCTGTGGTAGGGTGGGCTCATATGAACAACTTCTATACAGACAGACTAAGAGTGGGAAGACTAATAAAATGGGTAAATTACCAGATATTTATTTCTAAGGATGAACAAAACGGATCAGTATTCAGTAATTAGTCAATATGTATGCTGTTCATCTATATTTCTTATGAGACTCTAGGTGCCATTGGTAGGGTTATTTTATTATTATTTTATTGGTTTAATAACCAATAAATAATAATTTTCTTTCTTTTTTCTGTTTCATTTTTCATTGTTTCATTGTCCAGACGACAGGGGGGTTTGTAAGTGTTTTCCATACAAATTGCAACAAAGACAGAAATTGACAGGGCAAGAAGTTTGCACTTCTCTGTATGACAAATACAATTCTCAACAGTAATAGTTTCAAATATTGCTAATTTGAAGAGCACAGCACAGGAAGGGAGAAAAACAACTATAGTGACAAAGTATTGGTAACTTCTATTTTTCCAAATTGGCCCCTGTAATGTAATACAGAGACTGTGGTGTATCTCTTCGTTGGTCAGTGGTGATTGCAGGCCCTATAAGGGGGCTCTACAACCAGCAATCATCACTTTAAATAAGAGTTACAACTATCAGCATTTGAAGGGAGCACTTCATCCTTCTCTTTCGGTTGATTCCTCCTTAATTTTCTTGAGGGACTTTGACAATCTCTTTTTTTTACAGGAATAAAGCATGCACTTAGCAGCACAATGGGAAATATTGCTGTTAGATGGGGCCCTCTTAGAGGAGTTTCCTAGTGTCATTTCAAAGTTTTCAAATTTTTGGCCACTTCTGTGGTTTAAAGTTTGTCAACCTCAGGGGGGCCCCAAGCAGTTGCCTGCCTTAACTGTTGACAAACAGCACCTCTGTCTTTGGTAATGCTAGAATCATTTTGTAATTATTATTTTTTCTTTATGCATTAAGACAATCTCACAACTGTACCCTATTAAACATTTGGTATGTGTTTGAATGTAAAAATAAAAATAAAATTCTAAATTCTTTTTAAAGATTTATTTTTGGGCTTTTCATGCCTTTAATTCAGAGGGAGGACAGTGGATAGAGTCGGAAACCAGGGAGAAAGAGCGGGGAGCGACATGCAGAAGGGGGTCACGGGTGGAGGCGAGCCCGGGCCTACCGCTCAAGACGAGAGTCTCAACACATGGGACGCGCGCCCTAACCATTGCGCCACCAGCGCGCCCCAATTCTAAATTCTTTAAAAATAATAATTGGTGGATCCTATTTTTAAAAACCCAACGAGCGCCTTAATATTTGACGATATGAAGATAACCTGTTCAGTTTGGTTTCGGTGGGACAGAAGGTTCTGCTTTGACAATAAAACAGTCTTTTGCTGCTGCAGCAGTATCGATGATATCAGAGATTAAAAAGACAAAAAGAGAAGAAGGAGAAGTTGCCAGTAGTCACTCAACTCAAACAACGCCTCTGCTAATGTTCTCACTAACAAGCTGTTGATTAAAAGAACAGGTCACTGAGTTGTCTCGGCCTGTTGCCACTCATACTAACAAACAATACAACTTAAAATAGTTTTTTTAATGGGAAGATTAAATACACTACACACTGTTTAAAAATTGGCGATTGAACATATTGAGACAAATCCAGCATTGTAAAGGAATAAGGAGAAATATAAGAGACACAGATAGTAAGCCATGTCTTTTATATTTATCCTCAGTTCTCACCTACATACTTAACTTTGCTTATTAGATTAAAAAAAGCACAAATCACAAATCTGGTTACTTACCTTGTTTTAAAAATGTGCATAGTGGTGTGATCAACTGTAGAGCCCGACTGATAAATTGGCCAGCCGATAATATTGGTCGATATTAGCATATCCACCGACTATCGGTATCGGCTAATTGTATCGCAGATATGCGCTGATAGTACTAGATTTATTCACCAGTCAAATAGCAGTTCATGTGAGTATCACTGTATTACACTAGCAGAGTGTGCTATACAATACAACAAGAATTATCACCCTCCAGAGTGTCAAGTGGTGACACATACATGCGCAGTTACCTCTCAGTTGACTATCTTGTCTTCATTATAAAGTATAGAATTTCCACAAATGTTTGAAAAATGCATTTGAAGGATCAACACAATAAATGTGTATATCTACATAGATCTATCTCTACAGAACAAATGTAGATGTAAGAAATATATTGGCCAATATATTGGTATCAGATTGTTTCTCTCCCTAATATCGATATCAGTATTGGCTCCAACAATCACTTATTGGTCGGGCCCTAATGTATTGATCTGTGCGGATCAGCATTTTGTGTTTGATAACTTTGATTATCAGAATGTATCAGTCTATGTTCATCTCTTGTTATCAGTATGAGAAATTTTGTTTTCATTTTTTTGCATTTCTTTTTTTCTCAACCTTTGATTTAAAACTCAACATGCTCCAGGTGAGGCTTGAACTCACAACCTCGGCATCACTCTGCAGGTTACTGTCTTATAAGTACCGCGCGCTGACCGATTGCGCCACTGGAGCCTGAAGTATTTTGAGATTTAACAATACTTTGAACTCTCCCTTTATTATGAGTCTCTTAGCAGATGATGTCGTCCAGCAGTCTACATTTTGATAAACCAACATTTTTTGAAAGTTTTATCAACAGTGTCATCAAACACAAATTTGAGGGACACCTCCAAATTCTTTTAAATAAATGGAAATGTTGTCTTTCTCTATTATCAAGCAATGTGTGACATCACAATTATCCATCTCTTTACTCCTTGGTAGATCATTTCAAGACATGAAGGTTGAGTGGTTATTCTGTAGTGTGAACTTGTCTGTGCTCTTCATCTTCACGCCTTACAATCTCTGTGAGCTTTCCTAGACTGCATTGTGTTTTTTAGGTAATTGTTGTAAGACAACATTGTTAAAAGTCAGCTGCTCCAGGTGAGGCTTGAACTCACAACCTCGGCATCACTCTGCAGGTTACTGTCTTATAAGTACCGCGCGCTGACCGATTGCGCCACTGGAGCCTGTGAATGATTGCTAGACTTTATCCTTGGTATGAATCATGAATTGGTTTCTCACAATTCACTAATAGGATGCCAACTGCTGTATTGTCTTTTTTTAGATTTAAGAAACATTTTTAATAGAGCGAAACAAGTGATCACATTTCACACAAAATATATAACACAACCCTTACTGAAATGATTGTTTTCTTTATTATTAAGACTTTTTTTGCCCACAAGGTGGATCTACAATGAATAATAATCATTTAGCAAAAGATCGTCTCTTCTTATACTGCCGATTTATTCATTATAAGGTCATTGTTCGGCTCATTCTACCAACACAAATCTTAGACTTTAGCAACCAAGAACGTCCTTACCAAAAAATACTTGAGGAAGTCTCTAATCAATCCTAGATTACGATGATATCTAAACATGCTGCTGATCCATTCTCAGATCTTTACATCCAGTTTTTCACTCTCTTCTCAGATTCATTACTCTCTATGAAACTTTTACATCATGTAAAACAAATCTCTCTAGTTTTGAGTCAGTCCCATACTGGAGGTTGAACACTCACCACTCTACAACACCTGTGCTGGACTGGACCACAGGATCCTCTTGTGCTATAAATCCCGTAAGGGTTTTCTGAAAGTGGATATAGAGAATATGTCCAAAGCACTGTTAATTCTCAAGTGGCTTCAGGCTCCAGTGGCGCAATCGATCAGCGCACAGTACTTATAAGACAGAGACCTGCAGAGTGACGTCAAGGTTGTGAATTCAAACCTCACCTGGAGCAGGAACATTTACCTTTCTGTGATGATGTGACAGAGAAACACAAATTATTTCATGTGTCTTGTTGTCTTTATTGTCAGGTGGCTAAAACGCCACCACATAGGGTAGAAAACAAACAAACATCATTTCACAATGTTACCATACAGTTGTGCTTTATACAGATTCAACACAGTGCAAATTAAAAAAACAATCCATTTGTGATTTAAGTGCATAAAAAAAGGCTGCGGTGGAAACCAACATTTACAGTGTGATAAAAAAAAAAGTGTATTTCAGCCTCCAAACACAAAGTAGAAAAAACGTTTTACACACCTTGTGAAAGCAGGTTCTACAGAGCAACAAAACCCAACACGTCTGAAACAGCAGACACAAACTGATTGATGGCACAAAAAGACGTGTGAGTATGTGTGTTTGTCTGTGTGTGTGTGAGTGGTTATCAATCAGTAAGGCACATCAAAGTAATTCAGTCTCATTGTTTAACTCCGAGGACGACTCTCAGTAAAAAAAAGTAGAAAACAGAAATACATCACGTTTCAAGATGCACCTCTTCTGGAGGCCAATAGGGGGCACTGTTACATCCATTTTATCACAGGAGAGAGGTAAATCATTTGGCAGGAAATCAACTGTCTTTGTAACTCACCTTCAGTGCCACTGGTCTCTGATTAGCCCAGCTTGAGATCAGTCACACAGAATGTTTTAAGTCCTTTTCCATCATGTTTAAAATGATCATTCTGTTTCATATGTGTGTGAATCTTTTCTGATCAAATATGACGTTATAAAAAGTCCTGGTCATCCCTCCAGAAGAAATGTTTTCACAAGTGTCACTGCAGCACCACATCTTGTTTTTTCAGATGTCCAGTGAACATGAGAACGGGCAGTGTTCAGAGGAGGTGTGCGTTCAGGTCGTACTTCTCACAGAACTTGTCCGTGATGGGTATGCAGGTGAGGTACTCGCACCAGTCGCACTTCACTGGGTAGACATAGAAAAGGACAGCCAGGGCAGAGAGCAGACCCAGGAAGACCAGCAGGAAGATGCAGATCTGGAACCGTTTGCGGTACATGTCAGACTGCCCGAAGCTGAAGTGGGAGAAACGTGTGTTACTCCTTTTAATACAGGACATTGAAGGGCAACTGGAATGTAATAATTCAAACACACTATGCTAATGTTTTATGATCAGGTACACACACACACACACACACACACACACTGGGTTCTCTAGATTGAAGAAAAATACATTTTGTTAGCATCAAAAGCTTTTATCTGGAAAAGTTAGTGTGAGGTAAATTCAACTACTCCACCTGGAAAAAATGTTTTTCTATTCAAACGTTGTTTCTTTTTTGAAAAGCAGAAAATGATGCCATTTACACGTAGTCTTCATAAATGTTTGATTAGTCTAGCTTTATGTACAATCAGTGTGATCATTATTATTCACCTCCTACCTCTTACCTCCAGCAAGTATTTTTACATTCAGTTGACAAGCCTGAATAAATGTTGTATTTCATTTTTTTTTTTTTTTTTAAACCAGTAGGAATGTTAAGGTAAGTCCTTGATGTATAAATCTCTTCCTATTCTTATTTTCTATATTCTAAGTGCTTATTTATGTATCTATTCTTATATTCTTTTATTTGCTTTGATAACCTGCTGCTATAACACCACAATTTCTCAGTTCAGGATCATGAAAGTAATTCTATTTTATTCTGTTACCTGATTCACTGTTTTCATTAACGTCAGCTACAGACAGCCCATAATTCAACCTCCATAACTGAACTCAAGTTGCTCCAAGAAAGGCTTGAACTCACAACCTTAGAATCACTCTGCAAGTTACTGTCTTATAAGTACTGCACACTGACCGACTGTGCCACTGGAGCCTGACTATGTCTCATGACTCCGAGTATACTTGTTGGTTTCTGTCATTCAAAAGTAATCTCAGCTACTTTTAGTCTACACTTACCTCGTCATGAATACGTGAAATGGGATCTGTTCTTTTGAAAGTAAAATGTGTTTTATATTGAAGGTGAGAGTTCCAAGGTTTGAAAGAATGTTTATAAAAGCTGATGTTAAACACTTATAACAGGAAAGACTACTGAATTAGATCACAATTATTGTCCTCATCTATAGGTTTTGTCCAGTGGTGCAATCAGTCTTTATGCAGTATTTATAACCTGCAGAGATGCTGAGGTTGTGAGTTCGAGTCTCACCTTGAGCAGAAAGGTTTTGTTTATCCTCGGTGATCAGGCAACAAATAAACACGTTTTGTCTCTCTTGTTGTCTGTCAGGAAGCTAAATTGTCACCACATAAACAAAAGCTCAACTTTTCACTTTGATGCTCTGCACATGTGTAGAAAAACTAAAATATTCTACACCTAGAAATGTGATCACTTGTTTTGCTCTATTAAAAATGTTTCTTAAATCTAAAATACAGACAATACAGCAGTTGGCATCCTATCAGTGAATTGTGAGAAACCAATTCATGATTCATACCAAGGATAAAGTCTAGCAATCATTCACAGGCTCTAGTGGCGCAATCGGTCAGCGCGCGGTACTTATAAGACAGTAACCTGCAGAGTGATGCCGAGGTTGTGAGTTCAAGCCTCACCTGGAGCAGCTGACTTTTAACAATGTTGTCTAACAACAATAACCTGAAAAACACAATGCAGTCTAAGAAAGCTCACAGAGATTGTAAGGTGTGAAGATGAAGAGCACAGACAAGTTCACACTACAGAATAACTACACTGGAGATTGTAACTACATTTTTTTTAAATTCTTTAGGCTTGGTTTTCAAATTATTGCTGAAGTCATCAAAATCATATTGTCGTAAGTACTTGCTGCACCAGACCATACTCAACCCCACAACATGCTGACATACTGCATCATTAGAGTTTGTGGTTGCTATGGAGATGGTTGCACACTTTATGGTTTCCTGATATAAGATTCAATTTATGAAAGGATTCGAACAGATGTTCATATCAGAATATGACTTTTTGGGTGGTTTATTTATGATTTTTTTTGAGAATCTTAGAAATAATTTTTAATTTAATGATTCAATATCAAGATCAGCTATCAAAAATATAGAGCGACTCTGCTGTTGTTTAGGGGATAAGTGTTTCCACTTACTTGTAAATGCCTTGATTAGAAGACAAATGCTATCCTCATCAAAAACGATTGAAAACAACACGGTTAGCTTAGCATACAGCATGGAGACCAGAAGCTAAAGCTAATTAAAGGTGGGAAAATATGTTGAGAGGTTTTCCACTTTAGATGGAGAAAGGTTTACAGTTTCACAATCCATGTCTAACACAATAATAATCCTTGTAGGGGTCATTAGTTTGGATGGATTCATAAAGTTGTGAGAATTGAATTTGAGCTAGCAGCCTGAGTTACTAGCTCTACTTTTTTAGTTATATCACACAACTCATCTACTGGCTTTTATCTGTATAATAACCCTTTGACAGACAAGACTCAATAATCTTCTTCTTGTGAGCCATTTGCAGCCGACCCAGAATCCTTAGCAACCCTTCGTTCACCCACCTGATGTACGGAAGGAAGGCGAAGGACAGGAAAAACCCTGACACAAAGCCGCAGATGTGGGCAAAGTTGTCGATCCAAGGAAGCAGACCGAAGGAGAAGAAGAAGACGGAGATGGCCAGGAGCTTTGCGAACGCTCGCCACGGTCGCTCCAGGATCTGCCAGCTCTGAAACAGCTCCACAAAGAGGCAGGCCAGGATGCCGAACTGACTGCCCGCAGGACCCACCTGAGACAGAAACAAACAGAAGAGAACACTTTGAGTTTTTGGTTGTTTCACATACTGGTAAGAAGTCAGTTCGTCTATGGGGTGACCTTGTACCTCTGCTCTGTAGGGCAGGAAGATGGCTGAGGCCAGGTTGCCGGTGATGCCGCTCAGCATGTAGATGATGGAGATTCTGAGCCAGCCAGCCAGCTTCTCGATGTCTCTCAGCACCGTCATCTGAAAAAACACAGACACGAGGCAGTGCAGGATCCTACCGGGGGAAAACACCACACTTATTAATGTTTACCCAGACCCACATGGCATCTTAAAATAAACTGTTTTTAATGAAACCCCACCCTGCATGAAGGAAGAGGGACAGCCAGAGGCGAGAGAACTGGTCTGGGATCTCCTGGTTGAGGAAAGGCAGCAAACCACACACATCGTCCATGCAGGCCACCTGGACGAGAGGGAGAAAGTAAGGACTTCAAGATCAGCCAGAAGTAAACGAGCAATAAGGCAGCCCGGCATATCCACTGCTGCCATCCTGCAGAGTGTTGAAATAAGTCCAAATCCATTTCAATCACCAACTGACCAACAGGCTCCAGTGGCACAATCAGTCAGTGCATGGTACTTGTACAACAGTGACCTGCAGAGTGATACCAAGGTTGTGAGTTCAAGCCTCACCTGGAACAGCAGACTTTCGACGTTGTTGTTTGACTTAAAGGGCTGAATTCTGAGAAAAGACTCAGGGTGAATATATAGACCCAACGACTGAGGAGTTTAGTCTGACATAGTATGACATGCTAATTTGTAATGTTGCATGTACAAGAACACTCCTATTACAAGAGATTTTAAAGATTTATTTTGGGCTTTTAGTTCCCTTTATTGTGTAGAGCAAGAGAGAGAGAGAGCGAGAGAGTGGAGAATGGCATGTCAGAAAGGAACCACAGTTAGAATTCAACCCTGGGCTGCCAGCTTGGAGGACTAAAGCTTCCCTACTTGGGTTGCACGCTAACCACTGAGTTATTGGCGGCCCCCACATAAAAGGATTAATTCCAAACTACTGTTAAATATTAAACAAATTTAAGCTCCAGTGGCGCAATCGGTCAGCGCGCGGTACTTATAAGACAGTAACCTGCAGAGTGATGCCGAGGTTGTGAGTTCAAGCCTCACCTGGAGCATGTTGAGTTTTAATGATGTTGTTTCATTACAAAGATTCAAAGCAACAGAGATTGGCAGGCTTACAGTCAAGACAGAGACCCTACAAAATAACCACTTTTAAACTTCATGTCTTGAAATAATCTACAAAGGAGTAAAGAGATGGATAATCATTAAGTCACACATTGCTTTAAAAAAGAAAAAGGAAAACATCGCCATTCATAATAAAATATTTGGAGACACACTTCAAATGTGTGTGTAGTAAGACTTGGTTAATAGGCTACATTTCAGCAAAGTTCCAAAAGTCAGGAGAGACATGAATGTTAATCACAGAAGTTATTGGACTGAGGATAGTAATAAAAACTACAGATGAACTTCCTGGTGATACTCTCCACTTCACCATCCACACCCGCTTTGTTTTCATTTAGGGAGGGGCAAATACTTCACCCATTGTGTAATGAACGACGGTCGGGGTCCCAAAGGAAAGTCTGCCGACATGACGAGACTCACTAAGAGAATGCTATTTAACATAACAGTAACAGTCCACATCAGAGCCTTTATGCAGATGATGGTCTGAGAGTGGGACCAACCTGAGGACTCGAACACTTTGTGGGACAAAGCAAAGGGTGGGGAAACTGGTAAATCCTTAAAGTAACACAGATTGATTAAAAATGGTAAACTGTTGACTTTCTGCTTTTTAAGACCAATTACAGCAAAGTTTTGTTTTATTTGAAAGCGATGCGAAAGTTATTCCACATCAGGTTTATAGAAAAAAACACTAACATTATGATTTTAGTATTTGATGCAGAATGCTAAGTCATGTGGTATTGACAAATGTTAATATGACATTGTTTAATAGCTTTTGAAAAGGTTGAGTTATCAAAATGTTGAACGCTCCACATTATCTGCTGAGACTCATAATAAAGGGAGAGTTCAAAGTACTCTTAAATCTCAAAAAACTTCAGGCTCCAGTGGCGCAATCAGTCAGCGTGCAGAACTTATAAGACCGTAACCTGCAGAGTGATGCAGAGGCTGTGAGTTCAAGCCTCTCCTGGAGCAGCTGAGTTTTAATGATGTTGTTGTTGTGTTAGTATTCACATATTCACCCTACAGCAGAATCATTTAACCTTTATGGCTTGAAATGGTCTTCAAAAGAATAAAGAGACAGATAATTGTCATGTCATAGATGACTTTAAAAGAGAAAACATTGCCATTAATTAAATTGATTTTGACGCGTCCCTCACAGGTACGTGTGTGAAATGACACTATTTATAAATTTCAGCAAAGGTCAAGAGGGAAAAAACAAAAGTGTTGAAAAAAGTTGAAATCCATTTTTTTATCATCAACCCATGCCAACAAAACTCCAATATGTTCCCACAGTGTGACCCATGTGTGAGTAGTAAGTAACTACAATAGAGTGACACAAATGAAGTTCCCCTCAAGGTGTAATAAAGTATGTTTTTCTTCTTCAGTACCATTTATCCATTTCTGTTTACGCACCACTCCACGCACTACAATCACCTCACAGGCTCCAGTGGCGCAATCGGTCAGCGCGCGGTACTTATAAGACAGTAACCTGCAGAGTGATGCCGAGGTTGTGAGTTCGAGCCTCACCTGGAGCATGTTGCATTTTAAATCAAATGTTGAGAAAAAAATTGTTTTAGCTCAGTTTTAAAGTCAACACTTGGCCAACAATAGAAACTAGAAAACACAGATTCAGTATATTAGCTTGATAAAAGGAATAAAAGTTGCTGTGAGAGCACTCTGACCTACCTGTGAGCAGAGAGTAGCCTCCTCATGGAAGTAGCCATGCATGAAGTCACAGTACTCTCTGGAAGTGATTTCACACCTGCAACATAAAACAGACCTCATCAACAACTGACGAGAAAAGGTGATTTTAAATATTGATTTGAGCTTTCAGCTAACATTCATCATTAACTTAAAGTCTCCATGAAACAGAACTCTGAGAGTATTCAATCACCGTGCCGGATGTCCAACTGAAACAAGTTACAACCAATCACAAGATAGAGGGCGGGACATAGCGTTAGGATTGATTTGATTGGACCGTTAGCTTCAACAAAGCTTTTTAATGTGTTGAATGATTAGTAAACGCCCCTGAGTGCAGGATGAGTCATCAGATATTTGAAACACTTTACAGGAAGATATAATACGATAAATTTGATGTAAAAATCCTGAGATAATTCTTTAATGAAATATGTTTGGCAGATAAATCAACATTGAAAAAGAGGTAGTTACACGCACATTACGTAGGTGCAGGGCAGTGCAAAAATAGCAAAACTTAGAAAGAAGATAGGATAAATTATCACCTGAAGAAGACCTCTGGTTGAAACGTAGTGATTTGATCATAAAAAAAAAACTTTTTTTTGCGGCAATTGAGCAAGTGTGCTGGCCTATCTTCTTTCTAAGATAATCAACATTGAACACATTGTTCTGTTCCTTCACTGACACTGATCCTTACCGTCCTTTAGTTCCAATGCAGCAGGGCCGGCCTGTGATGGTGCAGTCTATGTGAGGAAGGTTGGTGTGATTTCCGGAGTTGTATCTTGTGCAAACCTACAGATGAGAAACACAGGGAAAGAGCTGGATTGTTCCTATAGTTGTGGTATGGAGTACAATATAACTCCCATAAAAAACATTAAAGCATCAGCTTAAAGCTAAAAGTGTTAATATGCACTTACAGGCCATCTGGTGATGTCATCAGGCCACTCATGAGGTGAAACTGAGGCTGGCTCCAGACAGATTCTACAAAAATGAATAATGGGAAATCATTACTGCATTTCACGAGAGCACATGAACCCCTAAAAAAAAAAATTTACATGACTGTCTGACCAGGTTTAAAACACCAGCATTAAAAAAAAAAAATCTGAATTCTGTTACCTTGGGTCCTGATGGCACACTGCCCCATGTTGGCGTAGTGTACCATTCAGACTGGGAGCACTGGGGTGCTGAGGCCACTTCACCCAGACAGCCAGGGTGCTCTGCAGTAAAAAAAATAAAAATAAAAAAAGCCAGAAGGAAGGAAATCATTGTTATTCTGTATTCACTTAGCTTGAGCAGGGCCATAGCTTAATGTTGTTTAGAAAGCTGTTTTAAGAGGATTCATGTAAACCTTTTGTTGTGTTTTTGAACGTTGAATGGAATCCAAAGACGTCCATTTTGAGAAATTTGACCAAATCCATCTACTGTACTTTACCCCATATGTTTGTCAATATATAAAAATAGAACATTTCTGTAAAAACAGTCAGGTCAAAGACAGAGGTTAGGTAAAATTCCATGTGAGAGTATAAACCTTTCAGGCATTTTTCACTGACCGAACACTCCTCCTGCACGGTTTGCAGACAGCCGGAGCGATCGTTCCTCACGCAGCAGCCGGACTCTCTCTCTCTCGCTCTCTTCTCCTGGATCAGTTGTCGGATTTCTTGGTCTTGACGCATACAAGGGGAAAACTTTGCTCCCAGGTGTATGAGTGCCTCCTGCAGGACATCGTCCACAGATATTTTAATTAGCTGAAGCAGCTAACATCACTGTCCCCTATCCCTCTTCCTGCATTTTATCCCATCTCTCCCCCTATCCCTTTCCAAGCCCGGCCCAGTGCCTGTGAAGGCTGTTTCGTCATGAGGGATCCGGCCTGGAGATTTCTGCCTTTTAATAAGACAGTTTTTTCTTACCACTGTAACTTTTGCTGCTTTGCTAAAGTGCTCATGATGGATAGGCCATAATAGCAATAAGTAAGGTCTTTTACCTGCTTTTTGGAGACAATAAAAATAGATTGATTGATTGATTGATCTTGTGTGTACCTTTAGCCAACTATTGAAATTGTTTCACTTTATTTCTAACTTGATATATTGACCATGTATCTTTTTTGGTTCTTCCTAAGATTTTTAACAAGCAAACTAGAAAATGTGTCTTTATCAACTTTTTTTAATCCATAACCTGTGTTCTTTAACGACCTTTAGCAGCCATCACTTTGAACTGACTTCTTACACATCATCTATTGGATATCTACTTCTAAAAAAAAAGCCATCACTAGGGTTAATAATCCACACTGGCATTTACAAAGAGTAGCTAGGAAACCTGAGTTTAAGATACAGGACTGTTTCTTATTTTTGACAAACACATATCTCAGATGTTGCTTGAAGAAAAGACAGATAATACTCACCGAGCTTGGACCAACCCAGAAATTTTGTTGTTGCACAAACTTGACATTTTCATACACTCCCTTGTTCCTCAACACCTCAAATTAAAGAAGAGAAAAAAAATGAACTGTAACTGATATTGTTCCAACACAATGCTAATGTATAATAACTACTGGTGAATTTACTCACAGAGTCAACAGTTTCATGCTGTGAGAATCCAACAGGTGCTATGCCATAGATGGTGACCGCCAGAATGGTGATGAGCAAATGGACGAATGTGATCCAGTAGGTAAAAAAAGGCCTGTGGAGGACAAATGTCAAATAGTTAATTAACAGTCATCCTCCTATTAAAACAGTATCAGCGGTTTTACCTGTGATCGTCCATGTCCTCAATCTGCCTTTTCACAAAGCTGTCGATGCGCTTGCGGTACGATCTGTTTGTGAGACGTCCAACAATGCCGAGCCCATAAGGCCTCTTCTCTTTGGCAAACAACTTCTTAACGGGAACGACGATCCTTTGTCCTCTCTGCTGGTGGCTGTTGGCGCTCACTACTTCCTGTTTAAGACGCACCCTAGGTTGAATCAGAGATCCATCTTTTGCTTTTCGCCATCCTCGCTCTAAGGGCCTGGATTCAAAGAGGAAGAGGATGGAGAGGCATGACATCATTAAACAGTATTTCCCCCCCCTGCAGCATGTCAGAGCTTTATGTTTTTTGAATGTAAAAATCTGCAGTAAAAAGTAGGAACGCACAGCATGAGGTGAGTCCTCTCCAGTTCATTCTTGTCCAGTGCACTTCCTGTGAGCTCCCGCTCGTCCAGCTGGTTGAGGTCAGCCTCCGATGGTGTCTCAAAAACTTCATCAGCGTAAGTGGACAACTCATCCTGCAGGCCGTCCTACAAAGGTAAGAGCTAAGCAAGTCAGATTGACTACCAAACCAATCAAAAAGGGTTCTGTTCTACCAGAGAGCGCTCACAAGTTGTTGATCGCAACAGAGATTATTGCCTCTGCCAAGGAGTCAAGTTTTAATTAGAATCCATCAGTTTAACACTGGGCGGGTTGTAGGATTGGATACACAACTATATACTGAATATATTTTTAACTAGCAATGCCGTAAATATGCCCTCAAATCATTCTGTCATTTCAACTATCCTTTACAATCCTTTTAACAGATGTGGGTTGTGAAATGACTGAAGATCTGTAGTTTTTTTTAAAGGTTTGGTGCATTTGAATACTTTTAAATTCTACTGCTCTTGAAAAAAAAGAGATTATGTTTCTTTTAAAACACTTTGGTCTTTAGCTTTTTCTTAAAAGTGCAAAGGGACTCTGTGGATCAAATCGAGTTTGTTAGTTTTCTCCACCACTGAGGGGCGACAGAGGAGAAGTGAGTAGGTTCAAAGATTACTTCATAATTTCATCCTACTAGACATTTCTGTGAATTGTGTTTTATTAAGCTTATGAATTACAGAGTCTTGGCCAAAAAACATTTACTGTTAGGTCACAAGTTTACACCAGCACTTTAGCACTTTACCTAATGCCTACTTAGCATTTCATTCTCCTTAACTCTGAAGGTGAATTTATTCCTGTTTTTTGTGTGCAACATAACATAGCAACCTTTAGTATTGTTACTGTATGTGTTTTGTTGTTTGGTTTCTTCTTGTTGTTTTGCTAACTGTGTTTTGTGAGGCTCTATGTACATCTTCATACATGTGTACCATCAACCTGCCGGGGGACTCACATAGAAATTAGCTTATGGTTATAATCTGACATATTTCCTTGTTGTTTTCATGAATGTGCACTTTCTCTATTTTGAATTAATAAATAAATGAACAGCTATCCCTGAATGCAAGTGGACAAAATTGACAAATTTGAAGAATGTTCATGAGATATTGTTGCGACAAAGGTTGGCAAAACAAAACATGAAAACATGTATAATTAATAAAAGAGCTCAATGGGCCACGAGAAGAAACACTTAAATTGATGTGATCTTGCTGTTTTGCTCAATTTGTTTATGTAGTTATAGCTTTCCAGACTTTGATTCTTTGAAAATATGTTTTTAAAGTAACAAGCACAGTTTAGAAGAACGGCTGACCTGCAAAGATACATCAACAGAAAAAGGAAACAATGAACAGCTGCTCATCAAGAGCATGTCAAACAGAAGTGGAGGTCATGTTTCAACTCTTTTATTGTTGATTTCAATGAAGATAAATGTAACGTTTTCCATGGCGGTGTGTGTGTGGAGGTGTGTTGACTGCTCACTCTGGTGAAGAAGGAAGTGTCCAGATCATCAGGGAAGTCCACAGTGTCATCTTCAAAGAAACTAGGTGGCATAAAACTCCTTCTGCGACATCGCCCCGTTGTGCTGTCCCCTAATGTCCGGCCCTGACAATCAGGATCACAAAAACGTCTTCATTATTTACATTTGTAAGGAGTAAAACCCCAGCGCTGAAAGTTTATCCCCGGGAATCCCCAAGTGTACTTTTACTGACTTAATAACTTGTACATGTTGTACCAGCGCTTAGTTCTATGCCAGTGGATTAGTTCTCCAATCCTCGCTGTGTAATATCATGGACCATCTGCTAGTTTAACGTCCCCAGTAACCCCCGACCGAGACACAGAGCAGATACTCTCACTGAACAGCCAGTCATTCCTATACCAGTCATCATGTACTGTACATGTGTCCTCTTGGTTTAATCTGCATTATGCCAGTTGATCTCGCCTTACATTAATGCTCAGACACGGTGCCGCAGATAAAAAACATCCATTCAGGGAGAGGGATGCGTCAGGATAAAAGAGATGTCGTTTTTCTAGGAATACCTCCATAAAAACATGAGATAATGGAGATTATTATGGCTGTGCATGTGCTTAAATCAAAGACTTACTTTACTCCTGGCTTTATAAATATTTGTAACAAATATAGGAGAAATGTTAAGCATTCATTTATCCTGAGGTCAGCCTTTTCTGATGAGAAGACCATGAATGGCATGATAGTGATCTTCTACTGTTTGCCAACAGTGGATTACAAACGGTTCTGAACTGCAACCATTCAATAGTATTAGCGTGAACACTTTCATTCACAATATGCAGAAAAGATAAGTAGTTGCAATTCTGAGAACAACAGGGTCTGCAAGGGGCTTTTTAAGTTTAAAACGTGACAGAGAGTTTAAGGCAAAGGTTTGCAAAGCACACAGACACAAATACACTGCAGCGAATAAATAAAGACAAACACCTTCATTAGTGCTGCTGCCGCCTTGAGACTCATGACAGCAACAGACTCCCGTTTGCGTCTTCGTGGCAACCGGTTGAGGCCTGAGCGGGAGCTGGAAAAGGAGCAGAGGGAGGCAGTGCCCGGCGTGATGGGAGTTTGCGGGACACTGAAACCGTCTACCTCTTCCACCATGCGGAAAGCACGACCCCGAGCCAGGGGGTCTACGATCTGCACCCACACACACACACACACACACACACCCACAAAAACCAACACACACACACAATCACAAACACATAGAGTACTTATGTTTTGATTCAGCTCATATACAATGGTAACACATCGCAGCAGCATAAGGATGCACAGAACACATATCTAGCAAGCGTTAGATAGCTGTACCACAAAGACATGAAATCTATTTTTTAAAGCTGATTTTTTTGTTAGGCTTTTTTTGCCATTATTTTAGACATCTTAAGTGGGATAGGAAAGGTGGAAAGGAGAGATTTGGGTAGACATGCATCAAGGGGCCGGCCCGGGATTGTGCAGTCAATGCGTTTGAGGACTGAGCTAAACCAGTGACTGCTAAATTAACTTTTCTAAAGATAAAAAAGTCTTGTATGTTAGTGGAAGAGAAATATAATTTTTCCAATCCTCGACAGACATCTATGTGTTGTTGAACTTATGGATTGTTATTTTACTGACACCGTGCTACAGTGCTACAGCAGCAATCAATACAATACGTCTAACACTTCCTAAACAATTAGCTAATTATTATATGATGCTTAAAAAGTAGATAGACACTGTTTTAGTGGTTGTGTTGGAAACACACAAATACAAAAACAAAGAGAAGTGCAAGCCAAACAGTTGATTTGGCATGTTACAACAGGCCTTACTTTAAGCTAACAGCGCTAAAGGGCTTATGCTAGCACGCAATTATCAAAATCAGTGTTAATGTAGAAAACTGGATTTTATAGTTTATTACCTTGGACATATTCACATTTCAAATGTCGGCAGAGTAAACCGATATGTAACAATCAAATTTTTATGTTCCAGCATAATATTTTAAAAGCTTTAAGACCGGAAGCAGAAACACTACTAAGCTAACTAACAAGTTAGCTTTTGAGTGTTTGTTGTGTTTTTGCTTGTTTTACTGTGCTTGTGATCTCAACGGCATTGGAAATAAGGGAAACCTCAGAGTCCTTTTGAGAATAAATAAAGGTTTGAATTGAATTGAATAGTAGGCTACCAGTAGCCTTCAAGAATAGATCAGCTGACCCTGCAAGCTCACAGAGGCAAAGCAAGCAATGAAAATCCAAATTGGAGTAAAGAAAAAGAGTGAGGAAGTGAAAATATGAAGGACGAAAGCTTAACCGTCCTGTCTTTTTATCAATGCCTCAAATGTGCCTGAGGTGCTGGCCTACCCTCTGCATGCCATAGTGGTGGTGATTGGGGTGGTGGGGTGGGAGGTAAAGGGGAGGAGGGGTCTCAGTGCTGGCCAGGGAGAGGTTGTCTTGGCTGTGTAGCTCCATCTCCCTCATCACCTGAGGCTTTAGACCCCCGTACAGATGACTGCAGTGCTGCAGGCTCTTCCTCCTCCATCGCTGGGTGCTGTCGCTGTCTTTGCTCACCCCAAACCAGTCGGCTGTACCCCTGGGGGGGAAGGGACTCTGGTTAGTTCACAAATGAAAGCAAAATATCCCAATATATCCAATATATTTGATTGGCTCAGAGGCATGGCATGAAATATTTGAACATGTTCATGGCGAAGAGTAACACACCGCTCTTAATAAAGATGCCCAAAAGGTTTTGTCATGATAATACTTTTGTTCATGACCTGAAACTATCACAACATCATAAGATGCTTTTAGAGCAGCCAGTGATTAAAGTAAAATATTTGTGTTTAAAATTAGACTAGACCTAAAATTAGAACAAATAGGAGTCTATGCTAATGTTCGCATGCTAGCATAATGTAAGCCTAATGCTATGCTAACATTCTAATGATAAGCTATTACGCTGTTTACCCATTTTAGAAACGTAGGTATGTTAGCATGCTAACATTTCCTAACAAATACATCTAAGACTGACCGGATTAACATACACTTTGCAGGTATTTGGTCATAAATATTTTCACCTTGTGATAATATGATGAAGTCAAATATGCTATTGCTTTCAGGAATGTTGTGGTGACCCTTAAACCAAAAAACTGACCAAACCGAGAATGCTATCGATAGAGCCATGGCACAATGCTAAAATCGATCATTTTTACAAATTAGGTGACTCTTAAAAATGAAAAGTCTTATAATGTAATTTGCTCAACCCAAAGACATTTAGGAATCCAATTATTTTGCAGGTGGTGATAATAACCTAAAGGCAATCTTTTACTACCGAAGAAATTAAAACTGTCATATCTTTTCTGCACGTCTACAGTGTTGAATTTTTCTTTTTCTTTTTTTTAAAGTTTTGTCCATTTGCTTTAGCATTCAAATCCAACTGAGTATTTGAGGATAATTGTGCTGTCCCTCCCTCCTGATTAGCAGAACAATGCACTGATTAGTTGATTGATTGCAGCTGCTTGTACAGGATTAGTTGATGATTTAATTGTTGCTGTTGTTGATTGCTTTCTTGTCCAGACAACCTTGTCAACAGTCTTTTAGCTTAGAACCTTTTGCGACTGTGGGATAAACAAAATAAAACATGCACACCAAAACTCAGTCATTCAAAATCAAACAAGAGAGTTGAGACAGAAAGGGAGGGCATGCAGGGTCATTGAAACTCTGGACATTTCTGTGGCTCAAATAATGTAAGGTTCACTTCAATTGCAGAAATCAGCTTAAACTTTATTCTGGATTAAGGTTAAGTGATGAGACAATAAATCATGATAAGATGAGGGCTGACATCTGTTCAGTTGTAGTACACAATGAGCACTTTGACTACACTGCATAATTTAGTTTATAACATGTAAAACTCTTGTGTAACAATAAGACTTAGACATCTCCCATCTAGTATTTTTCTCTACCCTAGCCTTTTTCCTTTATTGTGTATGTGTCCGTGTTTGATCATATGATAAATAACATTAACCAAAGGATAATACTTCCTATATCCTACACAACCTCATGGCTTTAATTCTAAGAGAAAAAAAGAAGCACATGTTGTGTGACATGAATGTTTGTTTCTCATTTAAACACAATTAATGAGCATTCAATGTGTACACCCAGGTTCCCTTTTTCCATCAAACAGTGTCTGCATGCCAGACCGTGTTCAGGAGGGGGAGGCCACACTGGAGGAACTGTTTGGAGAGCAGAGCGCTCAGTAATAAACACTCGAGTCTCATCGTGGAGAAGGACGCCAGCTGGGGAGGCCTTTTAAGGGCCGCGCAGGGGCAGGGAGGGGGAGGCGTGGCCCTGATTGTTGTCCCTCCAGAGGGGAATGTCTCAGAAAGACACAGGAGTATTAAGAGACAGAGAAAAGGTGGAGGAGAGGAGATCAGAATATAATCACAAAAGAATTAGAATTCATTAAAAATAGATAGTAATCTAGATTAAATCAATATCCCCTAAAACAGGAAGCAATGGCTCACCCACGTTCTAAATCAAATCCTGTTTGAGATACAGTAGTTTGTGTGTGTATGAATACTTAGGAGGGCATATTTCTGACTGTACACATGCACTGACAAGCACACAAAGCCACAAATGTAATATTTCACGACTGATTGACGACAGTGCAAAACCCATCGCCCATTAAAGATTAAAGCCATGTTAAGCCGCGTGACTGGGCTCATATCCTCAAGGTAAGGCTGGTGCACACGAAGCAGTAATCTGATGTACCATAATTACAGGCTTAGACACAATTCATTTCATTAAGGAGAAAAGGCCGAGGGGCATAAAATAGTCGAAAGGAAAGTACAATCGCTGCACAGGCAGGGAACACAACGTGTATAGAAGATAATAATGATACAATCCAACAAATATATGCATTAAACTGATGTAAACCCCATTGGATGGGGTTTACATCAGTTTAATACAAATTGTACTTTTCAACTGTAAATTCATTACAGGTCACAAGTCACAATATCTGGATAGATAATAATTCATCTATTCATTTCCTGTCATGGTAACTCTGTAAAGGGCCATGGTGGGGGTGAGGGGGGTTACATAACACTCTTGATAGGTAAGCAGTCAATCCCAGGGCTGACACAGACAACAAACACACCAATTCACACCTGTGGAAAATTAAAAAAAAAACAATTAACACCAGCTTTTTTTTTTCTTTTTTTTTTATAGATAAACCCAATTAAAAAACATAAATAGAATTTAAACTTCTCTTTTATTCTATGCAGACTTAACTACTGTTTGTGTGATACTGCATACTTGCTCATTTACATCTCAATAGTCACAATGATTTCCCTATATGTAGATATTTCATAGTCATAATAATATACACTTTTTTTCATCCTGACAACACTTTCAAGCAAAGACAGAATACGCTTTTTTTTTTACATTTAAATACCATTTTTCATTGTCTGTTTATATATTCCTATAAAAATGTTAAACTATCCATATGTTAATTAAGTAATGCAGGACTGTGGTTACTGTGGTGATGCATTTTTTTTAGTTAAGAGGGTAGTTTGACATTCTGGGAGTTGCCCTGCTCCACTTTGTTGCCTTTTTCTTTTTTAATTGATCAGTTCTCAGCTAGCCTTTTAGCTTAGCTTAGCACTTAGTCTGGGAACACCTAGCTCCACACCAAAGAAACAAAATCTGTTTACGGAGAGTTTAACTTTCTGGTATGTGATTGACAGAGAGAGATTAACAGGTGCTTAGTGGGCACATTTTTTCAGGCTAACAGTTTCTCACTTTTTTCAGTCTTTATCCAAGCATTCATTTCATCAGAAAAATTCTAACTATTCCTTTAAATATCTTAATACTCCATTCACCACTGCTACAAATCTGCAGCAGTATGTATATCAACCAGTAAAAGTTCTGCCAAACCTCATCTGTAGCAGTCACATAATCCTCCCTCAATAAACATTCACACATGCTTTGTTCAACAAGTCATTCTCTTCCAGTCAGGTTAACTCCAATGAGCTCAACCACAACACACTCACCTGTCCAGAGAGCTCCAGGACGGGTTCAAGTTCAGGGTCATACCTGTTGGGGGCAGGGACTGTGGTGCTGAATCACCTCCATCACCAGCATCACTAACACACTGCCCCTGCTTAACCCTGGGATTAAACTTCAATTGGGTGAGTTTACACTGATCCTCAGCAGGACACACATACAATGTTCCGTCAGGGGATTTCCCGATATCCAGGCCAGTGTTACCTTGTTAAATCACTGTTATGCAAAGGCGAGAATCACTGCAAGTTCGGTCTTTTGTGTAACATCCCAGCGAGCTCCCAGATTAGTCAAAAAGTTGGAGGAAAAGCTGGTGTTTATCTCCACAGTCGGACGGGAATCAGATCCAAGGAGGACTTCCAGTTACCACCAGCTGGACTCAGTCATCCAGTGCACTGATGAGCGGGTAGATTTTTTGACCTTTTGTCAACAGCACAAGTTTCCATATGACTGTGTGTGTGTGTGTGTGTGTGTGTGTGTGTGTGTGTGTGTGTGTGTGTGTGTGTGTGTGTGAGAGAGGGAGTGTGTGAATGTGTCAGCGGCTGGCAGCCCTCCCATTATTCCCACTTCATAATAATGGCGAAAAAAGACAGCAGCTCTGGTTCTTGTCAAACTGAATATGCCCCCCCCTCATCCAGAGCCCCAACCATTTCCATCAATACGCTCCTTTGCGCTCTTTCTTGCTCTCTTCCTCTCCCGGTTTTTTTTGCGTTGAGTGCCTGTAAACACAAGTTCTTCCCCAACAAACCAGCTCTCGGCAGGAAACAGGAGATTAGAAGGAGGCAGAGGAGAAAGATGGTACGGCTCACACACACATTAGGAGGGAGGAGAGAGGGGAGGGAGGCTGCTGGGACATGCCTGAACACGACCCAAACACATACACACACAAACACTCATATACACTCATACAGTGGTGGAGCACGACCACAAAGGTTTAGGCTCAGGCCCCACCTTGCTTATAGGCAAATAGAGCGTGTGAAGTTCAGCTCATACACTCATCATTACTATGAGTTCAAGTGAGATGAGCTGTTATCTGTGGAGCTTTTTTTGACTCATATGTCAAAATAAAAAGGCTCCATAACAGGAAAAATGACTCACAAAGAACCTTTCTGTTGACCAATAAACATCAGCATACTCCAAGAGAAACCCCAAAAAGCCAGAAGTTTGCAGCACATCATAACTTACAAACACTTTTTTTTTTAAAGAAAAATTCACCCAGAATCTTCTTTTTTAATGAGGAGGGACCTCAGATAACCTCAAAGTCACACACACACACACACACACACACACACACACACACACACACACACACACACACACACACACACACACACACACACACTTCTTCTGAATCCTATTAACATTCTAATAAACATCAAACACTCGTTCATTCTGTTTCTCTCGCACACAAACATGGCTAGTAAACCATGGTTTTGATGAAGTTAAGACATTTAGACGCTCCTTTGAACACAGCGTCTCTGGGTCACAGTCTCGTCTCCGCGTTCAAACATTTACATTCGTTTGAGCGATTTGAGAGGAGTCGCTTTGATGTGGCCCACATGCTGTGTGAGGCAGCAGAGATAGTGCATGTGAGTAATTATTATTTTTGTCTGCCTCAAACCATGTGGCCACCTGGACTCATACTGATACACTGTGTGTGTGTGTGTGTGTGTGTGTGTGTGTGTGTGTGTGTGTGTGTGTGTGTGAGGGTATGTGGAGCCTTAATGTGTCATATTGTGGAAATGACTAAGCTGGGCTAACAGCGTATACACACAAGAACCTTTTTTTTTCTCTAAAGGCTTTTCCTAAACCTGTATTGTGTATAGTTTAATATTCAATTTTTATGTTTCGTTTCTTCTAGTCTCCTGAGGAAATAGGTTTAGTCTTCTAAGAAGGATCTGGTCTTGATGCAAAATGAAGTCTAGACTAATGACACCTCATTTACTTAACCCAGATTTGTCATGAACTGTTTTTTAAAGTAGCATCTCAGTGAAGCTCTATTCAAATTTTGCTCAACACTTTAAACCTGTTTTAAGTTGAGGGTCCAATTAGGGACTCTAAATGTACACATAACCCTTAAAAAATATAATTAGAGAACGAGCTTGAGCAAGAGCAGTTCATGTTACACTTACAACAACAGCATTTTGTAAACTCCACAAATGACCTTTAAAAGAAGAATGTGCAACATTTTACACAAAAATACAGCAGAAATCAAGTTTATCCTGCGTAAATGTCTCTCTGAGTCATGATGAGTGTTGACAATGAGTGAGGAGCGTGAGGCCCACTGGCTGTGTTGTTGTGGAAGCCATGTTTACTTTAGGTTTACATGGACAGGACGGCCGACTCCTCCCCTTGTGTATAAAAGCCGTTTAAGTCAAGGACTACAGAAAAGAAGAATAACATAGCCTTATTATTATGACATCACGTATGCGTTTTACATCCAGGTCATTCCGTTTAAATGTTTATGCAATGTGAGGCTGCGGGCTAACTAAAGTGTGCTAACATTAGCCTGCTAACACAACAATGCAGGCCACAGGCAATTGCAGCCCGAGCCGTGCACACTTTTGTCCACCACTTGCCCTAAACTCCTCGGCGTGAACTCGAGTGGAACAGGGTTGGAGGTGTAACCGGAGGAGAGCGGAGGCTTTTAGTGTGGTGGAGGTAAACAGCAGTTTGTTTTGGTTTAATGCTGGTGCTCAAGGGCAACATCTACTGGATCAAAAAGTTGCACATTCTTCCTTTAATATTAAAGGCATATGACTTACCTTTTAACACAGCAAGCAGATATGGGCACATATTGAATTTCTCTGAATTCCTGTTTCTTGCCATCTGGTGGATATAGTTCCAATATTTACTCAAATTTTTGCTAGGTTTTTGGTCTACACCAACTACTGATGGAACATTTGCTCTTAAGCTCATGAATGCACAAAAGCACTCATTTGATCAGCACTTAAGTATTCTCTCTCTGTGTAGCGTTTAGGAATCTTCTGGTTTCTCACCTTTTACCTTTAACCACACGAATAGAGCAATGAGAGTGAATCAGAATTGCAATGTTCAGGGCCTGGAAACCAAAACTATGAGCTCAATGATGCCAAAACACCTCACAAAGCTGAAAGGACCTGCAGCGAAAGGTAGAGCACCTTCAAACTGCTGTTATCACCCCCTCCCCCCTCTTCAACCTCTGCTGTACCTGATGATCTGTTTGGGTATGGAGGAACGACGTCGAGTCAGTATTTTGGGGATGCAGGACCGCCTTCGGAGAGTGGACACCCTCCTCGGGCCCCTCTGGCCCTTTGGGGGAACTGTGTTGACCCGCTCAAAGCGCACCCTCTTATCGCTTAACATCCAAAGCAGCATGCAGAGGGGAGGAGAGGACAGGGAGGCAGTGGGGAGAAGACGGATGTAAATAAGTGGGAAATTAAAGAAAAGGGAGGATGACAGAGGAGAAAATAGTAAGATTAATTAGTGTTAAATCAAAAAGAGGCTGCAGTTTTAATTAGTTTTTAGTGAGATTTATTAGTGAAGAAGAAATATTAGAATTAGAAAAGCTTGTGACAAGCTGAAGGGGATTAGCAGCTGGAGAAAATCAGCAGAGAGGAGGGAATAGAAGCACTGTGTGTGTGTGTGTGTGTGTGTGTGTGTGTGTGTGTGTGTGTGTGTGTGTGTGTGTGTGTGTGTGTGTGTGTGTGTGTGTGTGTCTAACCTCTTGATTGACTGTGTAAAGGAGGGTAATCTCTCCGAAGGAGGTCTGAGGTAGTTGTTGGAAGTTTCCAAGGCAGCTATGCGGGTCTGGGGTTTTTCGCCCGGCATGCTCACACTGCGCAGGCGCTTCAACGGCTGTAAGAGACGACCACACATACATTCACACACCCAAACATGAACAGAAGTTATTCAATGGACAAGAGCTCAGAGAGTTTATCCAACAAAGAAACCAAACATTTGAAGACACACAACCAAAGTTCCTCTACTTGTCCATACAGCTACAGTTAATACACTTATATTGTTTTGACTTGTTAACGTTAACTTTGGTATTTTTCACCTGAGTGAGTGTGGGCGTGTCATCCGGTGTCAGCTCAATGGTCGGGATGTCCAGTTTGAGCCATGGTGGCTTTTTCCTCTGCAGGCTGTTGTTCCTGCTGCCCGGCTCATCCATGCTCGCTAGCTCCCCCTGCGCCTGTCAGCTGCACGACAGAAGCACAGGAGATGGCTTTGAAAAGCAATACACACAGGCTCAAGACACATAACAGCAAAAACTACTGTCAAAAGACTAACTTTGACCAGCTTTGTTGAGGCACTGCAGAAACTGGACAGGATGTGCACAAATCAACAGTTATCAATGTCTCCCTTAGACACAGAGGACTGCCTGATGCTCACAGCATCTCCTTAAATGAACCTTCCTCACTTGGAGAGGTGACATTTTAAAGAACAAACTTGTCTAATGGAACTCAATTGAAAGTGATTGGTGCATATTGATCCTTGTTTGCCAATGAATGCTCCATCAGTGGGCTTCACTGTATTCTTTTCCTTGTCTCTCCACCTTCTCCCGTCTGGTCTAATGGGGTTACCATGGTGACTCTTGTTGGCTGTGGCATTGTTTTAAGTTTAATGTAAGTGTGTGTGGTAATAGTTTAATACCGTATGTACCACACACTGTCAGACTATGCGCCTTGAGCCTCTTAGGAACATACAATTAGAAGTGTTTTGGAAGGAAACTTGGAAACGTGCTGTTGATTAGATGGAGGATGGTGTATTTAGATAATAGACTGGACTCGACCAAGAACACAGAAGCTGAACACCAACGCTTCAGCTGCTCCTGAGGAGACTTACAAGTTCTGCCACATATTGTTAATTTAAACAAGGTTCTGATTTTAAATCACATAGCAATCCATCTATCAGCAATTTATCTTTATTTGGATGCACAAACCTTAGATATTTCATCTTTTGTAGATTTTGCTGTGTTTCTATTCTTTCAATACTTTGTGTTGTTTTTACTATTCTACATATGTGTGAATATGTGTTACCTCAACTTGAAGACATAAAGGAAGCAGTTAGGCCACCTCAGGACAGGGTGCTATAATTTTCAAAAGTTCCACTTTGATTCAAGTACAGTCTTACAGATGAACCGTCTAAATTGCTGTGCTGCTCCTGCTGTCTGGATGGAAGAGATTTCCAAAGGATTGACAGCTGAGGTTAAACACTCAGCTGCTCCAGGTGAGGCTTGAACTCACAACCTGGGCACCACTCTGCAGGTTGCTGTCCTATAAGTACTGCATGCTGACTGATTGCGCCACTGGAGCCTGTGTGGATTGAGTCGTTTTAAAGACTTTTGTAAGAAAGCAAAATGTTTCAATCAAATTGGTCTTTCTGTTGATAAACCTTTTCTGCTGTCAGTTTGGTCTCCCTCAACAATAGTAGGGCAAACTTGGAGACTCATTTTTGGTATGTTATTAGTACAACAGACCCCATGTAATCAACCAATGGGGAAAAGACAGACTTGATCTGGACCTTGGGAAGGAACTTTGGATCAGGTTAGGAGGGATGGTAAAAACTTTTAACATTGGGTTAAACAGGAAGTGAAATGGTAGGGACGGAAAACATTGAGGACAAAACGAGTTCTTCATTAACTTGAAGCCAGCAATGGACAGCCTGCTCTGATTCATGAAAATACCTTACAATACCAATCCTCATATGTCACTTCCCCTTGTCAGAATAATGTCCTATGATAAACAAGAAGGCTAACTCTCAGCTGCTCCAGGTGAGGCTCAAACTCTCAACCTC